CCTGGAGAGTTTTATAAAATTTTCCTCTGTAAACACCTTTAAGTTTGGGATTTAGATAAAACTGGCTGGGAGAGCCACAAAGACACAAGAGCACAAAGGGAATGTGATGGACGGAAGGAAGTCAGGAAAACCACCCAAAAGTGAAAAAGAGGGAAAATGTGAAGAGAGGGTTTGCTGGATGTGGAAGGGTCAAGTTTTTAGAGTTTCTTGAAGGGAACTGAATAGGAAATGTGCTTTTTTTAGGGGCACACAGTTCTCTGGGGGTAGTGCTAAAGCAGAGACCCCCAAGCCCAGCCACTTTCCCCTCTGGCTGTGGGGAAGGAGAGCCCTGCTTGACACTGGAAATTTCAGCTCCAGAAAGTTTAAAAGAAAAATTGTATTAACGCCATTGCCCTGTAGTTTGTTATGCCTTACTGAATCCTTACTGAATGTTGGAATTCTATAAAATCTCCCTGCTGTCTTAAATCCACACTATTTTCTCTCTTCAGAGCTGTTATTTTGGTTAGTAATTACAGGTAATAGCTTGAAGGTAACTGGAGGGGAAGGGATAATCCAAAATGTGCCCAAACCAGATTTTTAGGGAAAAAAATTCTACAAACTGAATGTATTCATTGAATGAAAATATTTTTCATACATTCTTAATGCACTCCAAAATTGTGCTTGTGATAAACAAGGAGTTGGATGAATTTTCTCAGCTGTCCCTGACCTATATTTTAATTTAAAAATATATCTCTCATGCAGACTGCCTAAAAATTCTCCCAAACCATCTACTTGTTGCAGTTTCCAAGTCACTGAGCTTTACTTAGTGCTTTACTTAGTGCTACAATGAAATTAATGGGTTCTGTAGCAGTGTAATGGCTCTGCTTTGCATCCTTGTGTGGGCTGCAAGGAGCAGCAGGGGCATTCCAGCACTTTGGTCCTTGATGCTTTGTTAAAACCTGACTTGATGGTTTAATTCCAGAAAGCAGCACCCTGGATTAGATGGGTGTAGGATGGAGATCCCACCTTTCAAACAGGATTTAGGGTGATTTTTCCACTCTGTGCTGCAGGGGCTGCAGGAGGAGTTACCCAGGCCTGCAGTGGGAGACTTTGTTCAGGTGTTTTTTTTTGTTTTTTTTTCTTGCGAAAAGGGATATTCTTTCCTCTTTGCCTTTCAGTATTAAATACTGGAAGTTTTCACAGGTCGATATAAATAATCCCTATATAGAGGTTTTCTGCCTCTATTTTAAAAACATATTTCCTTCTGCGTTTGTTTGAATTTTGCTTGTTTGGAACTTGATCAATTTGCTCAAAGTCAAGAAGGAAACATGTAGAAAAAAACTGCTGTTCCCCAGTTTGGAGATAATGCTTTTGAAATTCCCATCAAGAAAGTGAAAAGATGAATATTTGGCCCCAAATGATGTAACTTGCCTGTTTCACCTCTATTATTCAGATTTTTTGGGTACTTGGCACTCTAAATTTTGGAGCTCAGCCCCCTCTTCAGCATCTCCTCCTGTATTTCAGTGCATCCATGGGATTTACAGACACTGAAACCTTACAGAGCCCTCTTGCACACAGAGTTAGATGTAAAGCAAGAAATTAAAATTGAAAAATACTTTTTGGCATTCCCCTGAGGGGTATTACAAAACTGCTGGAAATTAAATACTGAATTTTTTCTTCTCTACTGCTTCATTTTCTTCTTCAAGACCTCTTTTGCCTTCATGACTGTCCCTTTAGTAAACAAAATTAGCATTTCTTACCCAACCTTGTTAATACTGATCTTTAAATTTTCCAAGGAGATACTTCTTTAATTCAAATAATGAGCTGCTCGTGCAACAAATTTAGCTGCAGCTCTAGAAGTGAAAAATATGTTCAGATTAAGGCATCTAAAATTCTTACCAAAAAATTAGGCAAGTTAATGAATTTTTCTAGAAAATATATATTGATATATTTTAGCTTTTGGTTTTTAGAATTAAGTAGTAATTTACAGTTTTACCAGTAAAATAATCTGGTATATTTGATAAATAAAAGCAAGTGATATATGATAAATATATAAATGATCTGAGGTCTTTTGAGATTGGTTCCTGAAAGTTATGGTTTGGGGGTTTAAAAAGTAGTTTTGGAGGTCTTTATATCAAGTAATGTCAAGATTGTAAAGCAAAACACTGAGAAATGCAAAATTCAAGTTGCTTTAAAAAAATCAGAAAAAAATTCAGTTCTTCCAGCAAATCCAGCATAATCTAAGATATGGCACATACAAGAGGCAACCTGTTGAATAGAACTTTTAATGTTTGCTGTGGGTTCTTGGAACAGTGAGAACACACAGGCAGAAATCTGCCCTTCTCTCTTGCATTCCTTCTTCAAGAGAAGAATTTTTTCCCAGTATCCAATTTAAACATCCTCTGCTGCAACTTGAGGTCATTTCCTGTCCCTTGCCCCTTGTCCCCTCCTGGCAGGAGCTGTGCAGAGCCACAAGGTCCCCCCTGAGCCTCCTTTGCTCCAGGCTGAGCCCCTTCCCAGCTCCCTCAGCCCCTCCTGGGGCTCCAGCGCCTTCCCCAATTGTTCCCAAGTACATTAAAAGCAATAAATTTAAATATGTAAGAATGAGGACCTGAAGTAAAGCACAAAAATGTATTTCTCACCTCCACAGATACACGTGGTCTTACACACTGCTGAAAAAATAAAAGAGGGTCATGGAAATGAAAAGTATCTTTTGTCATGGTGATGTTGGATATTAAATTCCTGAATGAACTGAATCCCAAGAGTTCTAAATGTTCACTGTGCTCTAGGTTTTAATTTCTCTTGTAAGTGTTGTGTGAAAAGGGCAGCTGCCTGTGATTTGTGGGGAATATTTCTGTGTGGTCTCGTTCTGTGGAAGGATGATCCCTGTGCAGAATGAGTCTCAGCCTTACTGAGTTCAGAAAATGATGTTTTGCAGAGTGAGATAAAGAATGAATTTGTTTACTGTTACATGGTAATTTACAGTTAAATTGGAAACTGCTGTTATTTGATTGGAAGTTAATAAAAGAGAATATTGCATACTCAAATGATCAGAAGAAACCAGAATTGAAACAAAGGAGAAAGCCCTGTATCTCTTTCTACTCTGAGCTTTTGAAAAGGCTTTTAAAATATTCCATGAAATTAAAAGGAGATAAATCTTGCTGCCCTGATAATTGCTAGCTTTTACAAACAATCTGGGAATACCAAACCCAAGGGACTTGGTGGGGAGAAAGATGGTAAATATGCAATTTTCCTTTTGTTTACTGCCTATTTATTCATTTTCTTTGGTGTTTTGTACTTTCTGTTCTATTGATTAGCATAAAGGCAGTTTTAGGGAGAGCACACTTTGTTCCTGCCTTCCCTCTGGAAAGGGAGCCTGGCTGCAGCAGCAGTCCAGAGGTGGGAGGCTGGAACAGGGCTGTGGGAAAAGACAGAAAGGAAGAATCAGCACCAAAAAACTCTCCCACCGAGATAAACTGAGACCCATAAAATACTGAAAGGCTGGTGTAACCTTAAAGGTGGTTTAGAAAAGGTGATTTGCTGAGCAGAGAGGTGGAGGAATTTATTATGACAGGACTGAATTTATTATGACAGGACTTGTGCAAGGAGCACACCTTGGATTTCACACCCTGGTGTATCCCACAGGAATTTATTTGCTTACAGATGTAAAACCATTCACCTGCTCTCCACAGTGGAATTTTCCATGCCATCAGCATTTCTAATCATGAAGGCACTAATTAGGTGGGAAAGTACCCAAAACCAGGTGAAAACTGATATTAACTGTATTAAAACGGATAAAATTCCCCAAAAGAAAAGAAGGATTTGATGGATCATTTGGTGTCATCTCTTGTTGTCAGGTGTTGTTTGTTGTCCCATTCCATCCAAGCTACAGGTCCCTTTCTACCTGTAGAATTTTGCGGCTGATCATATAAATATAAATAATGTAAATATAAATATATTGGTTTAGTTGAGGTGTTAGGGCATTGTATAGACTTGATGATCTCTAAGATCTCTTCCAACCTAGTCATTCTGTGAGTTCTGTGAAATATACATATAAAAAATTATAAAATTTGCAAATTGCTGACTGGAAGGATTCCACATTTTATGGCTGTTGCCTACATTGCATCCACATTCTGCTATGAAAAAAATCACCCTGTACTATTCAGTAAGATTTTTTTTGGTGTCAAGTAATTGTATTAATTTTTAAAGGATTTTTAGGTTTTGTTACCTTTGTTCCAGATAGAGAATTGGGATTTTTTTTTTCCCCAGACATCTAGAAACCTCATAGTTTAATTATGTCTTAGATGGTAAATCTGGTAGATAACATGTTCTTCTTAATTATAGGACTAAACTCCCTATCACTGGATACCTGTGCTTGTTTTGGTGGGAATAGTTAAGAAATTTGACACCTGGTGTGGGTGAGGTGGCTGCTTGAAGTGACAGAGACACAGGTGGGTGCCCTGTGTGGATATTTCTATTTTCTATATTTTTAAGCCTGCCTAGGCTGGTCATGTTTAAGTTTACACACGTGCCAAGTCTTACCTAGGCTGCTCCTGTTAAATTCAGAACTCCTGATGCTGACAGCAGACACTTTTTAGTCATTTCATGTCACCTTTCATTACCCACAGTTTCACCTTGGGGTTTTCAGCAGTTTGCAGAACTCTGCTAAAATAGAAGCATTCAAAAAGCAAACTGAGATCATGTGGCTGCTTCAAGTGCAGGTACCCCCTACTGCAGATACAAAAAAAATTAGTATTTTAAATACAGAAATAAGTAAAAAGCATCATTTTGGTCCCCCCATCCTTCTGCTGTGATTCTCCACTCACAAATCCCTGTTGTTGCTCTTGGAGGTGCTTTAAAAATGGAAATACATTTGTGAAGCTTTTCCTTTGCTTCTGAGCACCAAAGTAAGCTGGGGTTGATTTTGGTTTGTTCAGTTTCTCAATAAACATGAAGGTTGTGTCGCTGTGAGGGGAAAAACTGGGAAAATGAAATACAATGACACTTCCTGAAGCCAGATGTGAGTTTCTATCAATGCTTTTATTTTTGCTTAAGGAAACAAAAACCACAAGCAATGAGGAAACCATTAAAGGTGATAAGTCCCTTCTCCCTCTGCTTCAACTGATAATTAAGAATTGCTGTTTTTACAGGTGAAACTGTGTTCAGCAGTGCTACTGAGAAGGCACAGAAGAGATCAGGTGTAATCACAGAGCAGAGATGAACTTCTTTTTTTTTTTTTTTTTTTTTTGATAATCCAAGTCTATGTATTAAAATACACATTTTGATTTGGGAATTAAGAAACCCGGAGCAACGTTGTAGAAGTTTAATACAAAACAGTAGTAAATATGCAAAATACAGGTGATAAGCAGAGCAGTGAGGCAAAAGGAAATAATATAAAAGTGGATTTTTAAAATGTAATTCTTTGTAATTCTTGGCTTTCCCCCAGCCCTGGGTGTAATGCACTGCCAGTCTAATCAGGACAACAATGAGATGGTGGAATTTAATTACCAAAGCATCAAAGAGGAGATGGCACAGGGAGGCCTGATATCTGCATTAAAATGGACTAGGCAGGCTGTGTTTGAGGAAAATGAGGTTAAAACCACCACAGTTTGGTGATATACAGTACTTCTTCAGTGAGAGGACTTCTCCCAGGTGGATGCATCCTCTTTCAGCACAGAGATTTCTGGGAGATGTCAAACAGTAACATGAAAATTGAGATTACAGTACAGCTGCAGACACAGAGTGAGCCTTTGGTTACATACAGGTTACACCCTGTCTGCAGGTCTTGGGCATTTCATCCAGTTCCAGGAGAGATTCTGTCTTTTTACCCTGCCATATTTACTCAGAAGTTGGGTAAGGACCATTGAGATGGAGCTGTTTACACATTTCATTGATCTGCATCAGCACTCCTTAAAGAACAGATCAAAACTATCAAATCTACATAGGACCAACAGAGCAGAATTATTCAAGTTCAGTGAAATATTACAAACAAAAAGGTTTCCTTTTTAGGAAAACTCAGCTATGGTAAAAATATCTACTACAGTGCACTGCACTGTAATAAATATTCAACATAAATTAATAATTTACAAGTACCTGAGCAAGTATACAGAGCACCATAGCACAGCACAGCACCAAAGGCAGTAGCTCAGAATTCTTAAAAACAATGCTGTTTTAAACATTAAAAGTTCTAAGTATTGTCATAGAAATGAACTCCAGCTGGAGCTGAAAGATAGTGCAAACTTCTGTCTTCACTTTTTAAAATAAAGGTGTCAGGTTTTCTACTCATTTCACATCCATAGTGTGGCTGGACCTGGATACCTGTGGTGGATGTTTGGGAGCAGGTCTGTTGGAAAGAAAGAAAACAGCAAATTGTTACTTAATCTCCATTTCTCTGGGTGCTCCTCAATTTTGTACCTGATCAAAAATGTCAGTCATGTTGCAGAATCCCAGGTGGTCTCCAAAAGCTGTAAGAGTCAGCTTGAAATGTTGTTGCTTTCAGAATATCTGACTGGAATGGACAGCAAGGAGTTTAATCAGTTTCTTTGTGCAGTATTTTTGCTAAAATGTAGGAGACTATATTGATTATGTTTTTAATGTTTCTGAGCACTTAAGTGCTTTACTGCTAGAATTCTTGTAGCTTAAAACACCACTTTTATCTTCCTTGGAGCTCACTTGATTTACAGGAAACTGAGGAATTTTGGGTAAGAAAACAGCATGGACTAAACCCACTAACATTGGGTGTAGTTATTCCAATTCCTGATTATTTTTTTCAAACATTATATTTTTGAAGTGCACAATTTCTATGCTTTTTGAATCGTTTGGATAGTATTTGCAGATAATGTCAACTCATGTTTCTTTGGGAAATGAGTGATCAAGAAATCACTTTTTTGGTGGCTGATCTTAACAGCATTCAGTTCTTAGCCTAATTCCAATTCAGATGGGGAGGTCTGAGGAGAAAATTCATTATTTGTTAGTTTTGTAAATATGCACCAGGTGTTTACAGTCAAGCCTTCACAGGTATTATAAATCCTCATATTCTGTGGGAGTCAGAGCAACTGTGCTGGTGCACTTCTAGTGAGAAGCAGCGTGATAAGTAAAATTAGAGATGGAAATTGTGTTGGAAGTGCTTGTTGCAGCAGTTCCTTGAGCCATTTTAGCCATGTTGCTGTGAAGTGCTAAAATCCAGGTGTTGGGATTGATACCTTTTAGGAACTACCTAAAACCAGAGGCCAGACAAAATTAAGGGAATAAAAAGGGGTTATATTTATTGAAGGAACTTCAGGCACATTTTGGGCAGATGAAGACCCCCCAGGGGCTACACCCAGAAATGGGTGATGCGTTTTCACACTTTTTAAAGTTTGGGCCATTTGCATATTGGGGGTTAATATTCTAATTACAGCTTCAGTTAATTAAGTCATTTACCTCAAGTTTTGTCCCCCACAAAACACAGTTTTGTTGACACTTCTGAGCCCTGAGGCAGCGAGGTGTCCTTGATCGCCAGGCCTGGCGAGGAATTGCTGTGTCTGCCCAAAATGGGGAAGGAGCAGCTGACACTGTGTATGGAGTTTGGGTTACAGTGATGAACCGCGGGGTTCCAAACAGATGGCAAATGCACGAGCTGGATTCCTTGGCAGCAGGGTGAGCACTGACCTGGCAGGGGAGGCGTGGGGCAGGGCCCTGGCGCGGCCCGGGCGCGCTCGGCCCAGGGGGTCCGCGGGGAGAGGCTTCCGAGGGGCGCTGGGCTTGGGGGGCTCCTGCAGGGAACACGAGCTCCTGTCAGTTCTCAGAGCGGACATCACACCCTCCACACAGCTGAGACAAAGCCCTACAATCGCGGAGTCACACACTGGGCTGGGCTGGGAGGGACCTGAAAGCCCACCCAGTGCCACCCCGGCCATGGGCAGGGACACCCTCCATGGTCCCAGCCATGCCTTGGGAGGCTGCTGAGGACAGCGTTAAAGGAATAAAAAATACAGGTTAAAGGAATAAAGAATAAAGGTTAAAGGAATAAAGGATTTACAGGAATACAGCAGGGATTTATTAAAAGGCCTTCACAGGATACACCTTGGGCAGTACAAGAGCCTGGCCAAGGCTACACCCAAAATGGACCCCGAGTCACGAATTTTCACACTTTTATAAACTTTGTTCCATTTGCATACTGGGATTAATGTTGAAATGTTGTTGCTTTAAGATTATCTGACTGGAATGGACAGCCAGGGGTTTAATCCAAGTTTTTTTGTGCAGTATTTTTGCTAAAATATAGGAGACTATATTGATTCTATTTTTAATGTAGATGGACCCAAGCTGGATGGCATGTCACAAGTTCTCACACTTTTGTAAGTTTTGGTCCATTTCCGTATTGGGGTTAATTGTCCAATTACAACTCCAGGTGATGCAGTCCCATCCTCCCAAATCTGCTCTCCCCAGTTCCCTGTTGTTTGCACTTTTTGGGCCTGAAGCTGCAGTGATGTCCGTGGTTCTCATGATGGAAAAGGATTGTTCTGTGTGCCTGAGCTGTGAAGAGAACTGCTGACACTTTATATGAAGTTCAGAATTATTTCCTAATGCAGTACAGAATCAGGAAAATATGAAAGCTAAAACTTAAAGTATCACCAAGGTGCTCCAAGCCCCATCCAACCTGGCCTTGGACACTTCCAGGAGGCAGCCACAACTCTGGGCAAAAATGAGACCTCACCCCCCTCACTATTTCTTCCTAACACCTAAGCTAAACCTAAATTGAAGATATGTTATGACTAGATAAGTTTAAATGAGTAAAAAGTAACTTATTTTTAATAAGTTGGCACTCTAATTTTAAACCAAAGATTTAATACTATATTTTCATGATTTTTTGTCTTTTGATTCTTGACTCTAGAAGTGCAGGGTGCATCTCTACTGGACTCAATGCTTAATTGGTGGTAAATGGAAACAGCAAAAATTCAATTCAAAAACTTTGTAGAATTAGTTCTATAGAAAGGTGGGAATGCTCAAGATGACTTTGAAATGGAAATTCAGATGGCCACAAAACCCAAGTGCCCCCGTCTGGTTTGGATTGGGAGCATCTGTGGATTTTTTGCTGTGCTTTCATTGGGTGGAATTAAAGGCTCCATTAATAAAGAACAGAAGTCATCTGCTGTCAGGCTGGGCCAGTGGCTGCTCTGGGTGGTCCCTGCAAACAGGGAAACTTGGCTGTTTGTGCTCCTTGTTATGGGGAGCTGGGACACATTAAATGGCTTGCTCAGGGCACAAAAATCTCTCCAGTTTATCCCCAAACTCACTTCAGATCCTTCTACTACTGGAGCTGTGTAGCCACGCTTTTCCCAGGGAATTTTATTCCTTATTTTTAGTTTGCCATAAAGTACCATTAGTAAAGTTAAAGGAAACAGAAGAGCTTACAAGCATAATCTGATTAAAGATCCTTTGAAAGATGTGATCCAAACAAGCAACCAGAGCATGAACTGCTCCTGAATTAAGTGTAACTTTTCATTGTTTTGAGCATCCCTTTGTTTTTTTACTTTCCATGGAAAATATCTGCACTTTCACGAAGAAAATGCAGATTGATTATCCACAGGGGTTTTGATAAGGAAGAAAATACACGAGCTTAAGTAAATTTCATATATAATATGTTCAAATTTGCCCCAAACTACATTTTAAAGTCTCATATAACGTCCACCCTCTATTTAATTTTCTGCATAACAAGTACAAGTATTGACACGTACACAGGCCCAACTCCTGATTTATTTATTCATTCATTTCCCACTCAAAATGTCCTCAAGTTAAGCTACCCTTAAGGAGGAAGCAGCCAAGTGCTCTGACAGAAAGTGTAATGTGGTGGCAAGCTGCTGGGAAAGGGTAAATGAAAGAAAAAAATCAAAAAGGGAGGGAACTCTGATAAAAATGGAGCTGGAGAATAAATGGTGGCTGAGATGAAGCAAAATGCAGCAGAAGGAGATGCCACCAGGAGGACACAACCTTAGGAACAGAGGAAAAGCTCTTTGAAGAAATAAATCCTATCCCCCAGACTGATTACAGGAGGGTCTTCTCTCTTCTTTCTGTGCCACAGGAGAATCCAAACTTTGTGTGTTAACTCGTGTGGGGCCCTGCAGAGCCTTTGATGTGCTGGGAATCTGCAGCACAGCTCTGCTTCCCTCATTCCTCTTCCTCCACTTCTTCCCCTACAAAGCTTCAGCCCTTCCTCACAAAGAGTTTATGGATGGATTTCTTTGTCCATTTTACAGCCACAACCTGGCATTTTATGCATTCAGGCCCTGCCTGGGGAAGTGTTTTAAATACTGGAATGAAAAACACAATTCTCATACTGAGCAGCTCCAAAGACATCAGGTGCATGAAATTCCAGATTTTTTCCACTGATTTTTAAAGAAGAAAATGAAAGCCCTCAGTGTCTACAGCCAGGCTGAGGTGTCACAGGAGAGATATTCCCAGGATAACTGTGGCAGAAGGAGCAGGAGCTGGGCTGAGCTCAGTTTTCCTGAGGAAAAAGCAAAACCACCTTTTTAAGTGGTGAAATGTTGAAATAAAAAAGTTCTATTTCCTGGCATTAGGATGAGCTGTAAAATACGAGCTATATGTTGGTAACAAGAGGAGGAGAGTCTCAGAGGCAGCAACTGAATGCTAAAAGCAACAAAACTGAGGGGAAGAGATCAAATCCAAATGCCAGGACTGAACCCATGGCTAGGATAAACCTGTACTGTTCCCTTGATTCACATGGGGCTCTGCTGATTTATACTGACTGTGAATCTGGCCCATAAATAAAGGCTGTTTGCCTTGCAAGAGCATCTGAAAGAAGGAAAAGCTGTTTTTCAGTCAAAAGATAATTAAATATTAAACTTGGCAAGAGCTAATTTGCTGAGGATTTTCTGTTTGGTTGACTTGATTGGTTTGTTTCGTGTTGTCTTTGTTTTTTAACTATTTGACTTACAACTGAAGGAAATTTTGTATAATTTACAGCACCATTCTGCAGCACTGAGAATGTGGGTGACATCCTAAAAGCAGCAATGATTTTTCAAGTCCTTCCTCTTGCTGACCTTCTGGATGTGCTTCCAAGAGAAAGCTGAAGCAATACATGAAGTAGTATCTATATTTATTATCCCAAACTATTCTTAAGCTAATTTACTTCTTCCGAGATTTGAGGGGAAAAAATAACTTAGGAATGAAAGATTTTCTCCCCACACAATGTTTTTTTTGGTCCTTCTGATAGAAGCTGAAGCAATACATGAAGTAGTATTTATATTTATTACCCCAAACTATTCTTAAGCTAATTTACTTTCCAAGCTTTGAGAGGAAAAAATTATCTTAGGAATGAAAGATTTTCTCCCCACACAATGTTTATTTTGGTCCTTCTGATATAAAAACTAGCTGTTTCTCACAATATTGAGGTTATGATAGAATTTTGAAAGAATCCATTCTTGCTCATTCTTTAGGCTGCCTTGAGCTGATCCCCTGTTTGTGTTCCATGCGGAGACTGAAAATGCTGATATTTTGCTCGATGAAGGAACTGTCACAATGAATTTGAGCTGCCAAGCTAAAAAGCTTTCTGGCAGTTTCAGATCTGTCAGTCTTTGCTAGTGGTAGTACTGCAGGTCTGGTGTTCCACCTGGCACTCTGGGTGGCATTTGGAGCACAGGGATTTAGGACCATGAGCTGCAGGGGAGCACTGGGCTACTGGGATGTGCACTGAGGCTGGGCCAGGTGCAGATGCAGCATCAGAATGACAAATGGCTCCTTTTCCTTTTCCGTGGAAAGCCTTTTCTCCATCCATATTCTGCTTAAGGAACTGAAAAGCACTTGCACTTGAAATCTTCCCTATGACCACTGTGAATTGTGCAGAATGTTAGAGAATACAAGAAAATGAACAATGAGACCACTGGAGCTAAAGACAAGCAACAGGAATCAATATTCCTTCCAATTCCCTACAAAATTTATTTTAGAAAGAATCAGCATTCCTTACTCCCCTGGAAAGGAAATGATTGGGAACATGGAAAAGGGAAGAAAGAAAAGCAAATAAAACACAGATTGCACTTGTAAAAGTTGGTCTAACCTGAGTGATACAATGTTCAAACTTAGAAAAAATTAAATCTAGAAACACTTTATTTGCTGCCACAATGGGCAGGGACACCTTCCACTGTCCCAAGCTGCTCCAAGCCCTGTCCAGCCTGGCCTTGGACACTACCAGGGATCCAGGGGCAGCCACAGCTTCTCTGGGCACCCTGACAATTTCTCTGGGCAGCCTCTCTCATCCCTGTTTATTTCTGACATTTTTCCAATCCCTTTCCAAAACCCTGCACTCCAGCAGTGTCTCAGAGCTGTCTCCTCCTATCCAGCACCAGGAAAGGGTCTTGAGTAGCTCTCAGGGCTCCTGCAGGTGAGAGCCTGGTGTTAACAACTTTATTTTAACTTTTAATTAACTTTTTAAATTTAAATATTAATTCACTTTATTTTAAGCTCGTACCACACCCAGATCAGGAACAGCCTGGGTGCTTTGCTTAGAAACAGTCACTCCAAAGTGCCACCAAAAGGGAGCAGCCAGTGACAAGAAAAGGCACTGTTTAATACAGATAGCTTCATCTACCCTATCGCCCTGAGATGCATCTTATTCAAAAATAAAATATAAAAAATATTTACCATCTCTACTTAAACATTGCAGTGAAAGGTGTGTCTGCATGAAATGGTGTTTTTCAGGTCTGTGCCCTGGAAAAACAGACTGTGCTTCATGCAGCCCTTGGCAGGGCAGAAGCACACCAAGCTAAGACACCTTTTGCTCTTGCACATCACATGTGCAGCTCCCTAAACTCTCTCTCTGTACTTGGCACCTCACTAACAAACTGTGCAGCTCCCCTCTGCTTGGGCAGCTGCAGAGATGTGTTTGCCTCTAATGTGTTTGTTCTGATGTCTTTCGAGTGGTGAAGGCAGAGTTCAGGATCCAGAATTTTAGGATCACAGCCCCACTTGCCACAAGGCAATTTTTCTACAGCAGAGTTCTAAACTCACACAAAGTACAAAGGAAATACTGTGGGGAAAGGGCAGCAGGAAAGATGAGAAAACACTTCATTTCTCCAGACACTCACAGAGTAAATATTACATAGAAGAGAATCAACGGTTACCTGGGAGAGCCTCAGTGAAGGATTAGCTGGCAGGGGTCTCTCAGGCCCAGCTTGGTGGCCTGGCAGCTGGGGAAGGGGTGGCAGGACTCTCTGGGGTGTTTTTAATGGTGGCACCTCGTGTGTCTTCACGGGGCTGCTGATGTCGATGATCTGATACGGCAGCGGCCGCCTGGGGCTGTCTCTCTGGGAAAAATCATCCTTGAAGTTATATATTTCAGTAATCCAACCAAAGTTGTACATTTCAGTCATCCAACCAAAGTTATACATTTCAATAATCCACCAAAGTTACACATTTTAATCATCCACCAAAGTTATAAATTTCAACCATCCAACCAAAGTTGTACATTTCAACCATCCCACCAAAGTCATATATTTCAACCATCCAACCAAAGATATATACATTTCAATAATCCAACCAAAGTTACACATTTCAATCATCCATCAAAGTTATAAATTTCAACCATTCAACCAAAGTTATACATTTGAACCATCCAACCAAAGTCATACATTTGAACCATCCAACCAAAGTTGTACATTTCAACCATCCAACCAAAGATATATACATTTCAATAATCCAACCAAAGTTACACATTTCAATCATCCATCAAAGTTATAAATTTCAACCATTCAACCAAAGTTATACATTGCAAGAGCTGGCACAGAATCACAGGATGGTTTGGTCTGAAGGGATTTGAAGGACCAGCATGTTCCAACCCCCTGCCATGAGCAGGGACACCTCCCACCAGGGAGCTGCAAGCTCCATCAAACCTGGCCTATTGCTACTTTAAAATCCATGGTAGTCCCTTGATTTTCTCTCCTAGAGACAAAACTATTTATTTTCTGCACTGGATAGCTCCACCTGTATTCAACGTGGAAGCCATAAATGAATTCTGAAGCCTGCATCCTCTCCCATTTGATTTAATGTTAGTCCTACATGATATTAAGTTCAGGCAATTATTGTATTGTAATAAATAATTTAATTGAGATAAAATACATGAGACCTTTCTTTGGTTTTCCTCCACTTTAAAAAAAAAAAATTATTTAGGGACTCACTTTTTGTATGGCTGTATTTTGTGGCTTCACAATGAGGTTTTTACTCACACATATGGTATGGACATGATTTGGCTCAGATGAACTGGAAGGTCTTGCTGGACTCACAGACCTGCAATACAAACATTTAATTATTGAACACAATGTTCTGCTTTGTAGCATTTTCTTAAACAGGAGCCTCTTTTTAGAATGGGATTTTGCAGGAACTTTCTGCCTGGTTATAGTAAACAAGGAAAGTAAAAACTGTCTAGCACTCCTGCAAGAATAAAAATAAATATTGATTTTTTAGAAACCAGTAGTCTGTTAAATTAGCTTCTGCAATCTGTGGAAATGCAGCTTTGTAACACCCAGGAGACTATTCTAATGAATCTAACATTTAAACAGTAATGACCTCAAATAGGAAAGTTTCAGCTCACTCAGCTGAGTTTAGATAAAAGGCCATGCAGTGTAATGAAACTGTTTCAGGCAAATGAAAATAAAGGCAATACTTCCATCACTGCTTAATTTTTCATCCCAAAAGGAAAGAGGGATATATTCAAACCAATACCTGTGTTATTTACTGCCTAGCAATGAAATTAAACCAACCCAGGGAAAACACTGCTGATAATGGTGAATATTTTTTGTCAAGGCTGGCTCTTCCTAACATATTCATGGTGATGAGAATTGCTGTGTTTACTGCTTCCTTTCCTTAATATCTATTGGAATATAATTAAGGAAAATAGGCATACCTTAATTTCTCTATTGTTGTCTTCTTGCTTGTAAACAACCACCTCATGAACGTCTTCCTTTTGAGGTACAGGATTGATCCAGCAAAGATAAGGCACAGGATGGTTATCAACACTCCTATGGTCAAACTCTTATTGTCTGCAAAAAAAATCACATGGAGTTAACTTCTTCCAAGGGCCTGCTCACTGCCTGGCCAGGGTTTCTTTGCTGTCTTCAAAAACCAAAAATCTTTCAGTAGTGAAATCAGGATGGGAAGCTTTGTCATGGAAACAACCATGCTGTCATAATTTCAGTATTGCCACCCACTGCAGCATCTGGCAAGCAGAGGAGAGATCCATTTTGGTTTGAACAGTATTGTTCATATGAAAACAGACATTATTTCCCATTGAGATTTAGTTTATACATGTACTTGTGAGGAGACTGCTTGTCCTGTCATGTCCCCAGACATAAACCAGAAACATCTCTTTGAGGTCACTAATGTTCCAACACTCTGGGGGAAAACTGGCACGGAATAATGAAATCCTGTAAAATTAATGATGTGTAGAAAGAATTCTTTCTGAGGTTGACCAATTTCCATTCTTTATCCTGGGAAAAAACAGGTGGAGCCTGAATTCCCACTGACCTGCCTGTCTGATGGGCCCACTGTCCACGCTGCCACCAAAGCCTGGCTTGTCACAGAAGGGGGGGGCCCAGTCAGCCTCACAGTGACAGTTCTTTTTGTTGTTGCAGACCTGCAAAACAAGACAAACGGCTTAACATAAAAAACATCCGAGAGCAGCCCTGGCTGATAAGGGCTTCTAATCAGACAGTGACACATCAGAGAGGAATAAAGCTTGGAGAAGAAAGGAGATGTGCTGATAGCTGCCTGCTGCACACTGAGGTGGCAAAGAGCAACTCGCCACGGAGGAAGAGGGATCCTAAAAACCATTATTTCTTTGGCAGGTAATCGTTGGAGTTGCTCCAGCTGACAACATCAATAATATGAGGATAATCAGACACCTCTTAAGTCTTGTTCTCTGTTTGCTTCCAGCAGCAGCATTATCTGCCTGGTAACTTCAGTTCCTCCTGCCTGCACAGGAGCAGCAGAGCTTTGTCAGCCCCCCAAATATTACAGAAGGGGTACTGGGGACAGCCAAAGGTGACACAGAGACTTTATCATTAGAAGGCATGAAAAGACACTTTATTATTAGAAATCTTCAGTTCTTATAGAAACAATGATTGGCCTAAGACCTGACTGGCCTTTAGGAATCTTCTCTCACACTGTTGGTGAGCTATGAATAGCACACTCTAGAAAACCATATCTATAAACAATGGTTACAGAAAGAGAGATAATAATTGCTTGAATTCTTTTGTCTAAGTTTCTCACAGCTTCTACATAGCTTCCCAGGATATTTTTTCCAGATACATAATTACTACACCCCGAGCTTTCCTCTTCATCAAGGGCTTGCACTGGGCCCAGCATGGATTTTTCCATGGCTCCAAGATGAACCACTTGCTGGAGTAAGCTGTGAAAATGGCTCAGGGCTGAGGAAACCCTCAGGGAGCTTTGATACCACACCTGCACTGGCTGTAGAGACACAGGGCTCTGTGCTGAGAGTTTTAATGTGAGTGAGGGAACAGTTTGTGAGGCCAGACCAGCCCAGTGGGATCAGGGAGCTCCAAGAGACTGGAGCTCAGCACCAGCACAGCCTGGGCACACAGGGCAGGAGCCAGCAGCTCCAGGGCTTTCCCCAGGAGCTCCCACAGTCCAAATGCTGGTTATCTCCTCTTGCTGCTCCTCAGCAGCTGCTGTGTGGTGAGTACAGAGCTCAAAGCTCCGTGCTGGACCGACAAAATGCATGGAGCCACAGAACTGTTCAGGCTGGAAGAGTCCTCCCAGATCTTCAACCATTCCCCAGAACTGACCCATGGCCCCAAGTGCCACTACATCCACATGGATTTTAAATCCCTCCAGAGATGGGGACTCCAAACTGCCCTGGCCAGCTGTGCCAGGGCTGAAAAAATTTTCCATGAAGAAATTTTTGCAAATATCCACCCTGAGCTGCCCTGGCCCAGCCTAAGGCTGTTCCCTCTGCTCCTGTCCCTGTTCCCTGGAGCACAGCCCGACCCCCCGGCTGTCCCCTCCTGGCAGGAGCTGTGCAGAGCCACAAGGGCCCCTGAGCCTCCTTGGCTCCAGGCTCAGCCCCTTCCCAGCTCCCTGGGCCCCTCCTGGGGCTCCAGACCCTTCCCCAGCTCCATTCCCTGCCCTGGACACGCTCCAGCCCCTCAGTGTCCCTCTTGTCCTGAGGAATGTCCTCTTGTCCTTCAAGATTTGAAGTCACATTCAGGTGCTCAATCAATCAATTTGTAAATAAATCCATTTGTAAATAAAGATTTTGGGCTCAGGGCTTGTTGTCAATAGGGTCCCTAATTCTGTGCTAACCCCAGCCATCACTGATCTGCCACCACCATGGAGAGCCCACAGCACAGATTAAGAAATGAGTTTTCAGTGAGACACAAATCAGCTCACAGGAGTTTGGGTTATTCTGAACATGCAGTATTCTGGCCAGGTCAGCTTGGCAGGCTTTCAGAAACACTGTGCTCCCTGTGTCTGCAGAGCACTAAAATATTCAGAGAGCTCAGACTGGCTGTGGTCATGTAAAATTAAAAAAAAAAAAAGATTTACATTTCAAAGACAGCAAGATAATTAAAAATATACTTTGTTAAGCATTATTTTTTAAATTAAAGCACTGCAGGAGTTCCTATTTACAATTCCACAAGGTCAGTTTTGCCACTGAGGTGTCACCAGAGGTTCTTGTTTGTGCAGACATAAAAAATGCCAGTCCAGGCCTCTGCTCATTCCATCCTCAATAAGAGGCAGCACCATCAGCACTGCTCAGTTTTGCAAATTCAGGGTGATAAAATAAGTTAAAGCGAATTAAAATCCTTCCTCAGAGAGGACAGTGAATTTCTATGGCTCTTCCAATGTGGCTGCCACAGCTTTTCAGAGAAACAAACAGCTCATCAGCACATCAAGGTTAATAAGGCAAAGCCTGATATAATTAACATCATCATAATATAAACTGGGTTTCAAACCACTGATATTATTAAATGATATCATCACATTTTTCATTCTGTGCCACTTTCATGCCACAAAACTCATCAATATGGTTTTACATTTTCTAAATGTCTTTGGAAACGCTGTTTCATTTGCCTCTCAATCCAAACGCTTCCAATGCTCAATTCAAAAACTTTAACTTCCTTGTATCTATGGAGAAACTGCATTTTTGATTTTAAATGGGAATTCTTCATGATGGAGGGTCTGACTTCAAATTTCTTTGAGAATTACAAGATTCCTTTGTATCACAGGCTGTCAATTAAGAACAAGATAATTACTGCCTGATAAACATTTCTTTGTCAAATAAAAACAATTTCCTATAAGGGACAGTGGAAATGGAAATACATAATAAAAATGTATTGCAGTGACTCTGGCTGATCTATTGCAGGCAATTATAGATCTCAAAGCCATTACAGAAAGTGATTTCTTGTCCAGTGGTTATTGAGGGATTGTAAAAAATGTTTTCCTAGGATGCTTACCCCACGTCCATGGCACTTGGTGGCACATTTATGGACTCCAAAAACACTGGTGTTCTGGCACCGGCGGTTCAGGCAAATCTGCAAAATACAAAAAAAGGATTTTGACCAGGGACAGAGCTGCTGGGGCTCCCAGGACATCATATCCCTTCTTTCAGCAGTTAAATATTTCCCAACACGCAAATATATATCATTATATGGACACAAAGGACACCTGGATTGGGTGTCTTCTTCTTATCTCCCTTGACCCCTTTTAAATCTTTGAAATCCAAATCTGGGCAAGCTGAATTCTGCTCTCCTGGCCAGCCCTGGCCCCACACAGAATTCACAGTGTTGTTATGCTGATCTTGAGCAAGCAAACCCTCTCAGATCCACTCAATTGGAACTAGTGGGGACACCTAGTTGGGAGGTGTTTAAACCAATTTAAAAATCAGTAATTAGTATTCTTTTTCAGGACCAGGAGTGCGTGGAACTAGTGGGGACACCCTGGGCTTTGGGAGGTGTTTAAGCCAATTTAAAAATCAGTAATTAGTATTCTTTTTCAGGACCAGGAGTGCACTGAGCAGGATTCCTTCAGGCTCCTGCTCTGCCTGCCTCTGTCTCTTCACAGATGATTCCTCGACCAAAGCTTTGGATCTTCATGGTGTAAATTATCAGTTTCATTTCTATCAATAGTGAGATATTTTTCATTGCACTACAGAGCCTGGACCCAGGCTAGATGAATATTTAAGTGAGGTCATTGATTTTTATAGGCTCATCACTGTTTTCCAGGAAAACCAAGATCTTTCTGAGTTTTTCCATGTTAAACAATTTTTTTTGGTGTCAAATATAAACCAACCCTATTTAACATTTAATATTTATAGGGAACAGAAGTAAACAAATAGCATATGCACAGGAATAAAATTAATATTTTTTTTTTTGTTTTCCAGTCATTGCAGATCAACTTTACTCTGCCAATGGAGCTGAAAATTGAGGTTAAGCAAGATTAGTGCTGAGCAATAATAACATCAAACAACCACACAACTGATGAGCACGTCACTAATGAGAAGTTACCCTACTCCAAACTGCAAAAAGAAGAAATTAGGACTGGAATAACTGTTCCTATGCTATGCTGACAACAAAAAAGGTCAAAAAGCCCCACACTGCACATTTTGCTCATGTTTAACTGCAGTGCAGTTCAGTAGTACTAAAAGTCAGTCACAATAATTAGCATTAAGCTGGGAATGGTGTTGAAGGAGGCGACAGGGATGCTTAATCAGGGCACTTATCCCCTGGGGAGAAGGAAAAATGGAAAGGAAATTAGAGTGAATTGGCATCAACATGCAGGCATGGAGAGAATATGGTCTGATTACAGCACTATTCACAATTCAAATATTCACAGTGCAGCAGCTCCCAGAATTCTGATCACATTAAAATGGCTGCGTTTCAAATTGTGCATCTCCAGTTGAGAAAACCCAAGAATATTTAAATTCATATTCTTAATCCATAATACAAATGCACTAATGTCCTCAAAGTAAAACATACAATTTCAGAAGTATTAGCCTGTGTATTCTATAGTGTGGATGTGTATGATTAGATAGATTAGAAAGATTAAATACTCATTAGTAAAACATAATGGGGTGCTTTCTCAGCGCTGAGTTGCCTTTGAAAAGACTTTTTAGAACAGATTGACTTAGAAATGTTGTAAGGGTTGTTTTCCTGTAGCAGAGCTGTGGTTTCACTGGGGATGGATTTCAAACCTGTTCCCAGCACAGTAAGATAATCCAACGTAATTCAAAAGTATTCACAAGTTCTGTGGCTTACTTCAATTTACCACAAATTATCAAAGCACTTGTTTTTCCTCCTTTTTGCAAGCAATCCACTGAGGGTATGGAAACCTCCTTCATTTCAATAGCTCTTGGACTGCTTTCCATTCCTCCTCCCCCTGTAAACTCATGGCTGCCTCCCATCTTTCTCAGTTGCTTTCCTCACAAAAGAAAAACTTAGACGGAGACAGCCATGTGAAATCTGGGCTGTATTTGCAGTGGGTAATTCAAAAAATTTGCAAAACACAAATGTAAAAATCAGTTTTGGTGGCTGAGCATCAATGGGTTTAGAGTTTTCTAAGAGTGCATACAGAGGTAGGTTTTCCTGCATGAAAAAAGAAGTGGGGAGTCATAATCAGAAGATAAAATACATTTTGAAACCTAAAGAGAAGTTAATGACAATTCTGCAATGCCAGAGATGCTGGGAAAAGGAATACATTGAACTCAGGCATCCATTAATAAGCCTTTAATGTATTTTGCTGTACTTATTTTGCAGAAAACCTCAAGCCTCCATGGGCAGATACTTGGGACTGTCTTCAAAAAAATCAGTCATAAACTTAAGCAACTTCCATTGCTCAGAATCCCGAAAAAATCGGCCATAAACTTAAGCAACTTCCATTGCTCAGAATCCCAGGATGGTTTGGGTTGGAAGGGACTTTAAAGCTCATCTATTTCCAACCCCCTGCCATGGCCAGGGACACTTTCCACCAGATCAGGTTGCTCAAATTTGCATCTGAAAATCTATAATACAGAACAGTGGCCAGAAGGGAGTAAAATTTGTCTCAGTCTGAGCATGAGAAGCAATTATTTTGTAGGGGAAAAAAAATGCCAAAGAAAAAGGAAGTACAGAACACTTGGCAGAATGACAGTAGAGATGTTCCCTTTGTCTGGGAGTATTCCAGAATCTTACTTTTCCATCTTCACACTTGGTTCCTGCCAGCACCAGCCCAGGGTCAGGCATATCATCCCCCAAATACACGTGGGTGCCACGGCACAGGATCTTGCCACCCTCCTGGAGTGGGATGTTGGTTTCTATGGAAACTGCGTTGGTACCAATGACGGGTCGGTTTGCTCCTCCTTGACACTGGATTTTTCCACACTTCGCATCCCTGATGGAAATAAATCACAACAAAGCAAGGATGAGGTAAATAATTTGAAACGTTCCAAGCCCTCTGCCAGTACCTGTTGCTGTGTTTGCAGGGAGAGGCCCTACCTGGGTTCACATTTGGCAAAGGAGCTCTTGGAGTCTTTCCCGCAGTTGCCGTAAGGGTCTCCGGCAGAATTGACTCTCTCAAAGCAGATCCCAGGAGCGGGTTTTGCACCTGAAACAAAACCTAATCAGAACTCTCATCTCATACAAGGTGTTTTTAATAATTTCCTTTGAGCTCTGCTGGTGCTTTAGGGGAAAGGGGGGATGTGAGCTGAATGTTGATAAGGCAACAAAACAGTGGCGCTGGATCCGCATGCTAATGGAAGACTTTGGATGGGTGGGATTGCCAGTGTTTGTCTCTGAGCAACAGGCAATGCAGAACTCCTCTTCCAGGATTTCTCGAGCTCACAGCCCTCTTGCCAATCCTCCTAGGACACAAAAACTTCAAGCAAACACCAGACAGACAAAGGCCAGCTGGAAAGTTGACTGTCTTCTTTTGCAGGAGTCCATGTTCTAGTGAGACCCCAAAGAAAATTCTTTTCAAGATAGGCCTGTTTGACTGCAATTGAGAACAAGACAGCTGAGAAAATCCAGTTGTAAACTGGATGTAAAGATGTGAGACCTGACATGGCAAAGGGAAATGTGCTGCTAGTAACTCAGTCTGAAGGACTGGGGAGAGGAAAGGAGCCCATCCCACCTTAACCCTCAGGACATGCACTCCTGAGAGGAAAGACTACATGGAAGAAGGGACATTCCTGCCATGGTGGTAGAAGTGGGAATCTGGGAGTTCAGGCAGCATCTGGTTCTAATCTACTGTGATCTTTTCTGATAGAGACAGATCCTAATGGCAGAGCAACTTCCCTGGTGGGAGTAGGGCTGGAAAAGCTTGTGCAGGCAGGTCATTCATCCCTGCACTTCAGAAGTTCAAGGGTACTATCAGAACATCTCTTCTAGTGTTTTATACACACAGTCTCCTGCCCATTTCCCTCCAGATTAGAACCAATTATAGAACATCTTCTAGGGGAAGATGCATCCGTTCATCTGGAATGTTGAAGAGGTGAAGGATCTGCTTCCCTGGTTTGCCTGCTGCAACAATTCATTAGTCAGTGTACTGGAATTTAATCCCTCTGTTCTACACTGAAGTGTGGCTTTCATTTCCAGCCAACAATTGCTGCTTCTTGCAAGATTAAGAGGCCCTTTGTTAGGGCTCTCTACTACTCTGTATTTTCTTTCCATGAAAATAATTAACAGCACCATCAAGTCACCACCAACACTTCAATGCTCCAACAGGGAGACTGGCTTTGAGCAGCAGAGGAGCTGAGGAGAAACTCTGGCTAAAACTGTGATCAGAGAGAGACCTGCTACCTGCACTTCTGTGCTTTTGACAGATCAGCCAAACCAAAGCAAAAAGAACTTGGCAGCAAGTGATGTGATAGCCCAAAGGCTGAGAATATCCCATTTCTACAGCACTCCTGATCTTCACCAGACACAGAATATTTCAACTAATGCTTCATTTTGTCAAATGTTTTGAGCCACTTCCAAGTGTGTATGCCTCTAACTGTGGGTAAAACATTGCATTTATTTAAACCAGACTGAAGATTTCATTTGAAAGCCTTCAAAGAGGAAAATGTTATTTTTTTCTTTTCTTAAAAAAAAAAGGGGGGGGGGGGGGGGGGGGTCAAATTCCTGGAGAAGAAAATACAAATATGACTGTAACACTTCCAGACAGTGTGGATCTTTTCACTAAAAACTCAGAGATTAAACTTCAATTAATTATCTGCATTTCATAGTCAGAAGCTTGACTAATACTATATACTGCTGAACAGCAATCTAATGCTATTAAGGACAAAATATTAAAACTTGGAGAGGCTTAAGATGGCACCCTCTTTTCCTTCTCACATTTTTACATGCTGAAACTGGAAAATTCAGAAAGAAAGGCACAGAAGGAACAGAATATGAGCTGATGGTTCCCTGGAGAGAAGGACAAGAGCTTGAAATTCTTTGGAAGATTACGATCAAGCTTGCTGAGTTCAGAATATTTTTTCAAATCTGGAACTCTTAAAAGAGACTCACACAGGATTCTTTAAATTCTTTTTCATTAAAGTTCAAGCAATAATAGGAAAAAATCAACAAAAGCATCCAGACAAGGCGCTGTGCAGAAAAAGCAAAAGTTATATTTCCATTTTCAGCATGTGGATCCCTCCTCATCTTTCCAGGGTGGGCACACTCAGTGTTCAGCTTGAGACAAACATTACCATGTGCATGTTCTATAGCAGCTTTGGAAGGGCTGGGGAGGGAAGAAACATTCTGGAAGCAAGAGGCCAAGAAAACCAAGGCTCTTTCCAAAACTGCTTGTTCCAAAACTGCTTTTTTTCCCACATGTGCAAGGACCAGCTTGTGCAGCCCTGGCTGTGTGCAACTGCTCTGGGTGTTGTTTCTGGCCAGGAGCCTCAGCCCAGCTCAGCTGCTGCCATGGAATTCCAGAGGCTGGATGTGCCCTTGGAGCTGTGGCAGCAGCAGCCAGAGCCCAGACACGCTGTCCCCTCAGTGGTGTCCCCTCCCAGAGCTGCCAAAAGCCAAATGAATGCTCATGTCCTGTGCTCTGACTGCAAGGGATGAAACAAAGGCTTATTCTAAAAATGGGTTTCAAAAGGGAATGCACTTACTGAACACAGGGAGAGTTTAAGGTGTTTCTCTTCCTCTTTCACCTGGTGGAAGTTTTTTTGATGTGGCTGATTTTTTTTCCTGAATTCAGAAGCCAGGCGTTGCAGAGATGATGGAAAGCAGCCCCCAGGAAGGAAAACACATCTGCAGGGCTCAGACACTGAGCTTTAACTCCAACTAATAACACTTGACAAGAAAAAGGATCTCATGGAGCACAAAAACCACTCCCCTGCCAGGCTGGGAGCAGTCTGTGTGTGAAAACACCTGGTACCCAATGATCATCTGCAGCCTGGAAACCAAAATCCAGCTTCAATTTCTGCCTTTGGTATCCAACCAAGACAGGCTGTTGCTTGGGATTCAGATGGCTGTTCCCTCTCCCCACTGGCTTCTCACAATATTTGCACTTTTTTATGGATGAAAACATATCAGAGTGTAAGATGCTGAACAGATGGAGCTACCAAGTTAAAAGGAGGCTTTCAGAGGATGCTTAAGGAGGAGAATTGTAATGTTGTGTTTCTGGAGGAAACCCATTTATCATGACTGCACCACATAAACTGAAGCAGAAAGTCCTGTCTTCCTCTATTTTCTACCTCTGCAGGCAGAGGCAAAATGATTTGTGAAGGATTTCTGGTGGTTATTAAGTGGCTTGAGCTGGATGAGCAGAGTTTATTTCACTTTGCTATTGGTAATTATAGTATCATGACCCTGTAATTAAGGTCCTGTCAGCCTTTCCTTGCCAAGCCTCATTCAAGGGATTAAATCAGCCCCTGGAAGCTGCAGAAGGTCAAAGCTCACCCCTGAAGCTGGCAGCCTGGAGATTGTTGGGGCTTTTTCTCCAAACATGTATATTGGTGAAGCCACTTCTTTCCCTATGCAGGCCCAAAAAAATAAAATAATAAAAAAAGAGAAGTTGCAGGGCAAAGAAATGCTGTGTCATTTCAGACCTGCTGCCGTAGGAAAACACTAACACAGCCTCTCGAAAGGAATGAGGGAAATTTCTGACCATGGTGCTGATTTCATGAACACAAGAAACGTCCTCTATCAGGCTGACAGCAGAAAAGGAAGATATTTCAGTTCAGTTCCCAGCTGTCTGTGGGTGGGGAGAGGGGGAAAAAAACAACCTCTGAGTAACAGGCTGGAGTTCTGTGGCTCAGGCTGTGCCAGCCAGCACCACGAATAACTGTGCAAATAAATATAAGCATAAAAACCACAGTTCTCTGTCGTGTGATCTGGGTTTCAGCTCATTAAATTTGTTTTTGCTGCAAAGCAAAAGTTCCACGAGCTGCCCTTGGCCTCTCTCCCCATCCCGGTGATTCCTGTTCTGTCTGGGCAAGAGCAAGATGGGGTTGAGCATTTTTTTTGCATTTAAGGAGGATGATGTCACCACCACTGAGAATATTATTTAATATCTTTCCCATCTCCAGAAGAAAAAGGCCTGGCCATAAGTCTGTGATGATCAAAATAGTTTGATTTCACTGCGTTCAGAAAATTGCAGTGCTTGGACAATTAGCAGTTTTTCAAAAGCAAATCAGCAATGGTTTGGTCAGATATCTGAGGAGGGCAGCCCATTTATTTTGTGTGTGTAGGGTTCTACCTGGCAAAACCTGCAAAGCTCTCACACAGTGACAAATATTGATATCTAAATTAAGAATGTTCCTGCCTAAACAAATGGCCATGTCCATGCAACACATTTAAATGTGTTCTAATTATTAAATCAATGCCTGCCATTGGCTCCCCAAAATCATTTCCCCACTTGGGGAAATACAGGAAAACAAACTGACAAACTTCCCTAAAGAATCATTTTCTTGTCAATGCAGAAAAAGCCATGAGTTTAAAGTTGGGAATCTTCTGTTCCTTGGTAATCAATGATTTCTCTGTCTTGAGCAGCTCTCTCTGGGTGTCTGTTTCTCCTGGAAAATGCCACCACACAAAGCATCTCCATTGATGTCACTGCTATCAATAGGTCAGATCAGTGCAACCTGATATTTTTGAATATGGACCAAAAAAAGCTCACCAGCAGTTCCTGCTCCCCAAGGATAAAATGACATGAATTATGGAGAGAGAGAGAATGGAGAGCTCTGGGTGTTCTGGGAGCAGACTGGAATCAACCTGGGCTCTGAGAGGAATTCATGGCTATTTTCAGAGATTGTCCCCAGGAGCTCCTCCCTTCTCCTTCCACACAGATAGGAAAGAGAAAAAAAAAGTCCTCTACTTTATCTGAACCACTGTATTGAGAAAAACAAAAACAACCCCAAGGAAATGCAAGTGCTTTTCTGGAAACAGGTTCCTACTGCTCAGCCTAATGTAAACAGGCTCTGACAGTGTTCATCATTTTCCTTTAAATAGATCTAAAAACATGAAGATTGACATTTATCATTGAGCTTCTGGACATCTGTAACCCGATGAATAAAGAAAGATGTACAAGGGAAGACATTAATAAGGAATTCAATATACCGAATATTATTTTAAGAAAAGTTATTGTATTTTGTTCTGCATGGATTCCTCCTACTGGGAAGAAGAAAATAAGGAGAGAATGAAAATGAATTGTAATATGATTTTTCTTTAAAGGGGAGAATTTTTTTTTTAAACCACAAAACTACTTCACTCCAACACAGGCAGTTGTTAAAAACAGTTCTAATCAGACAAAACAACCTGGTAAAAGATTCCAATGTATATTTTTGATACAAAGTCCAGAGACAACATCTTAGAATGTCAAATCTCTCTTTGTGCTGCAGGCAAAGCTGGAAAGACGTGTAGTTTTTTTAATCTGTACCATGATCTGTACAGTTTTTCTAACTGCATGAGCCACCCACCTCTCTTCTCATTCCACCCCAAATCTGCCAGCTCACACTTCAGCCTGATGTGTGATAGAGCAGTGGATAGTCACATCCTCGTCTTTAAATCCAGAATATAGGTATTATTTGAAGTGTCCAAGGCCAGCTAGACAGGGCTTGGAGCAACCTGGTCTAGTGCAAGGTGTCCCTGCTCATGGCAGGGGGTGGAATGAGATGATCTCTAATGTCTCTTCCAGCTCAAACCATTGTGGCATTCTGCATTGATTTTTAATTTATTCTTCCAAAACGTGGCAAGAATTAAGACTTTCAGTTCAGGTTTGGTCATGTCCATCCTCCCTATTTAAAATCCTTCTCCTTGGGCCTTCCCAAGAAAAAACCAAAGGGTATTCCAGTCAAAATCTGTATGAACTGTGTTCTTAACACAACATCTGTCTCATAAACAGACTCCCACAGCCTGGAGCCTCCATGCCTGGCAGTGCCTCTATCAAACAGCCCCGAGAAAGAAGGCAGGAAAGAATCAGGGGATCCCAGGGCTGTGGTGGAATTGCTGTTAGGAAGAGACCTGGCAAGCAGCAGCTGACCCTGATCTTTAGAGGAATTTTTCTCAGCCACTGAAACCACGAACAACCTGACCAAGTAACTTTCCACAGCATAGGAAACTGGTTCAGGAGGAGATTTTTGCTTTCTACAAGAGAAACAGTCTCTGTATCCAGGGATTAGAAGTCCCAGTCTGACTAAGGCTGGAGGCTATAATTGTCCATGGCTCTATGAGCTCATATCAGCTCTAGGACGCGCGTGGGACTCGGGGAGTGGAGCACAGGCACGGTTTGTTCCACGTGAGGAGTTCAGTTCTGAGCTGGAACTCCTCCTGAACGTGTTCTTATGCCCACGTGGCCAAGCTGACCTGCTGGCTGTACCACTGGGGCTGCTTCCCGAGATGCTTTAATGCTGTTTTAAAGAGAGATTGCAGAAAGTCCATGTTCTCTGGGAAGGAAACAGATAAATTCTTCAGTAGTGTTCTGGGGAGGGTTTGGCCAAGGGAAACATCTGTGTGCCATTATATTGATACAGAAGTTTTGGAGCAGAGTTAGAGATGCTGAATTGAAAAAGCTGGAAATATTAGTTTAAAAGAAATAATTACACCTATTCCTAAGTAATGTTTCTCCATAGGAGAGAGAGTTTTTCAAATGTGAGATAAAAGATGGGGGTCAGAGAGATGCTGAAGGAGACATGATTTGGATTCATACCAAAATGCTGAGTTAATAGTTGCATTTCAGTGGAAGGGTCACAGGGCTTTATAGAAAGGTGAACAGCTTTCCTGGGATAGATATTGGGAACAACTCAAGAACTCATGTTACCAGATTTCTGCAAAAAGGGAGCAAATTCCCATGGGAGAATAAATCCCTTTCTGCTTCAGTGCACACCCTGCTAAAAGCACTGTCAGGAGGCAGTTTCCAGGTGACACCAGTTAATAAAACACACACAGTGATCCAGGAGTCTCATGTTAGTGTCAAAAGCTGAGCCCTGGCTGGGGATGGAGCACACACATCTGTTTTGCAGATGAGCTGTTTAGAGCACAGGAGGAAGCTCACACAGCAGCCTGAAAAGGGCTGTGATTTCAACCTGCCAGGAGCGTTCAGCACTTTGTGGGGTGACATCAGGCTGTATCAAAGTCAGGAGGAAATGATTTGTCTAAGTTCACCTATCCACTTGCAGTGTGCTGCAGCACGAGTCTCGTTACCTCCTGCTGCAAGATCAAACAAGACAGCAAATCAAGGCTGGAATGAATCACCCAGAGATTCCCTCATTATTCAAATAGCTACAGATTGGTGCTGCATCCTCCAGATCTTTATTCCCTCCCCCAAGCCTCTGTCAGACCTGTGTCCCTGTGCTGGTGATGCCTTCTGAAGGTAGACCTAGAACAGAGGCTGGGCAGAGCTAAAGAATAAAGCAGGGAGTGATTCAAAGGATCTCCTCCATGGATGCCCCTTGGGCAGCACCAGAGCCCAGCCAGGGCTGCCCCCAGGATGAACCCAAATGGCCCCAAAATGCACGAGCGCTGCCGGGGTCTCTCCCTGGGCTCAGCTCTGCTCCATGTGCACATTGCAGTTCAGTGTCCAATCCCACTGCAGCCCCTGCAGTCCCACCCTGCTTGTTTTTCTCTCTGCAGCCCACGGGGTTTGTGCTCCTGGGCTGAGATTGGGATCATTTGTCCTTGGTGCCCAGCTGGAGCAGGAATTGTTTTGTCTCCCTGCTCTGTGCACAGAGCTCACCATCCCTGATGTGAACCCAGCCCCACACACTAAAGCAGGACAGAGTGTGAAAAATAGAAAATCTAAAAGCTGAGGCATCTCTGGCACTCACCTGGGCCCCAGAGGGTGATGCACTGCTGCTCGTGGGTCTGGCAGATGCCGTTGTAGCAGTAGCCATCCACCCCGTGGCACGCGTGCCCGTCGTGCAGGTAAACGTTGGCCGGGCACTGTGGGCTGGCCCCCGTGCAGAACTCGGGCAGATCACAGGAATTGCTCGACTCTCTGCAGGAGATCCCTGCTGGTTTGAGCTGCAAAACCAACAGAACTTCAGCAGCCATGCCGTGCCTGGGTCAGCCCTGCAGCACAGGAGAGATTTCCCCACTGGCCCGGCCCCGGCTGGCTGCAGAGACAGGGCAGGGATGGCAGAGCTCGGAGTGCATGGATCTGAGCCATGCTGGGAGGCTCTGGCAGGAAGGAGGGTCAGATGAAGCCACACACATGGCTCACAGGGCTCAAGAAAGAAGGAAACCCCAGCCCTGACATTTGCAGGTGGCTCCTTCATCGTGTCTGAGCACAAGAGCTCTGGAAAGGAGGATCTGGAGCACTGGGCAGAAGGCAGGTCAGAGACCCTTCCACCCAGGGCAGCTGCTCACAGAGCACTGTGCTGTGCTAGGGCTCAGGAAGCCACCAGCACGCTTGGCTGTGGATTCAGATGTGAATTCAGATTCAATTCCCAGCTTGGAAGGTTCAATTCAATGATCGTGAATAGATCTTGAATGTTAATGAATCTATGTAGTTACATTTCCTCATGGAAATGTTGCTGTGATGGGCATCAAGATCTCCTCAAACTTAGTTACAAGATTAGTCCATGTAACTGTTTGTCCTGTACTAATTTCCATGGAAAAATGATATTTGTTTTTTTGGAACCGATGGTGGAACATGCCAGTCTGAACATTCACATCTCAACAGCAGCCACAAAAGTTGGGTGTGCTCTGGGAGCAGCACTGAATTTTAATTAAATTGCCTTCAGTAAAAAGCAAAGGACATGAAGACAGATTGATTTTGCTAAAAAGCAATTCCTGGCCATGGGGATCCGTTGCTGCTCCAAGCTCATGGGCTGCCACAGACAGGATGGCAACTTGCTGGATGCTTTATTAGCCCACAGGCAAGGGATGGTCTGAGAATTCAAGCAGGTAAATGCCTGTGGTAAGTTGGCTTTTATAGAGTGTTAGGAGACCACAACAGCTGATGATCTGCTATTAAAAATACATATGCTATTGATAGAATTAATAATTTAAGAGCCTTCCCCCCAAAAAGAGGGTTAAGCATTTAATGACTACTTGCTGAGTAAGAATGAGAAAAATCAAAGCACACAAAAGTTCATGAAAAAGAAGTTTTGCATGAGCAACTGAAGGGGCCACAAAAAGCACAGAGAAAAAGCACAGAGACAATTAAAAAAATCTGTTGATCTGCTCCTTCAATAATTTATATTTTGGGAATTTTTAAATTGCTCACATGACATGCAAGTGTCTTAATGCTTATCAATACCAATTTACTTCTCCTCCATCCTTGCTTACTGCACTGAAGCAGGGAAAAACCCAGGGAATTCTGCCCTCCCCACCCCAAATGAGGCATCTCCCCTGGTTCACCTGGCAGTCCTCGCAGCAGAGCCCATGTGCACACACTGCTCCCGGGTTCAAGGCACAGGTGGTTGCGTTGCAGCACGGGTTTGTACATTCCTGGATGGGTTTGGAGGGTAAATTTAGAGCAGACAACGTGCAGTCACAAAGAGCCGTAAATCAAGAGGCTGCCTATGAGCTCTGCCAAGAAAAGCTGGGCATGAAATCATGAATTATGCATGAAATCCGACAACCTGATCCAAACAGCCTTGTCTGCCCTCAGATTCAACAAGCCCAACAAGTGTAGTAAAACCAGAGGAGCTGCTGAGGAGGGCTGGTTTATTCCAGCTATGGATCTGATCCCAAATGTCACAAACAACCCAAGCGTGCTGACACCAACCCTGATAGAGCACTGGGGTGTTTTATTTCCACAGGAATCAGTGGAATGATTCTCACTGCCTCCAGAGAGGATCCAGGAGCTGCTGCAGTTGCTGAGCATCACGACCACAGCTCTATTTTGTGATAGCTGCTGGCCAGGCTCCTGCTTGGATGGAGGCTGGGGCTGCCACAGAGGAAGACAACGACATGATTCCATGTAATCCCTTATCAGAGCACACCAGTAATAGAGCTGTGAGATATGGAATGGGCATGAATTGCAGCCTCACTCACTGATACATCCCAATTTCACACTTGTGGATTAGATGGTGCCGTGTGTGGGCTCCTGCAAACTTCATTGTCAGTAGAACGAGCTCGTAAGGAGCCTGAGAAAAGAATGGATTTGTTTTTCCAAGATAATGCCCACAAGCTGCAAGTTACACCAGCTGAGCTGGAATCTCATCTCTCTCACAGAAATAGAAGCAGATAAAATTGCTCTTCAGCTGTGTTAAGTCTGTTTGACTTAGCGAGGGATCACTGGCAATAGAGGGAACACAGGAGGAGTGAGTGGGTTAGAGTGATGTTCACAGCCTCTTGTTACTCCCCTGGCTTCTGAAAGCTTCCCAACTGGAACTGACTCACCAGCAAAAACCAGAAGAATTCTCAGCATTTCACTGTTATTTAGGTATTATCTTCCTGGATGCACAAAGCCAAGTGTGCTCTGAAGCAGAGGAACAACTTCCTGCTCCTATTTCTGACCACCGGAAAGCAGCAGGCTACAGGAATATTCCTGTACAGCTGCTGCATGTCAGGAGTAACATTCCCCTGCACAGAAGCACGTTTTATAAATTCACCTCAGAAACAATCTGAGATGAGCAGGGTGGAGTGTCAGTCCCATTAAGGCCATTTTGAAACAGCCAGCTGCAATACCCCGTCCTCTGACCCCACAGCAGCGTTCCACAGGCAGGCTGGGATAAAGACACAGCTCTTGGAGTGGTGTTTCAGCAGCCTCTGAAATTTCCAATTGCTGTCTCACTTACTGCTCATTGTAGGCAATGAGCTTGGTAAATAGTTTTTGTGCCTGGGCTATCAAATTGTCAGGAATGATTTTAACATAAACAAGCAGAAAAAACAAGCAAGGCTCACCAGGCTTTGGGAGGATGGAGGCTGCCACCTGAAAGTACTGCTGTGCTGGGGTTTGTTGTTGTTGTTATTATTATTATTAGTTATTATTGGTAACAACAGCAATGATGGGAGGAGGTTTCTCAGTGTGGCTCTCCTGGCTCTTCAGAGGAACCAGAGCAGCCCAACCCCAGAACAATTCCAGCACCACCTACGTGATGTCAGGCTCTGTCCTGTGGGTAGGACACCTGGTTTTCCCCCTCTCTTTTCTAAAAACACAGGACAGACCCCACTGGGTCAGCCCAGAACTCCTCTGTCCTTGTGTCCCCCTGAGAGCAGCCAGCAGAAGACGTTTAAGGACACTGGCACCTTCCCAGTCTCCTGCCTTTCCCTGGCTTTCCCTTTGCTCCACGGGCATTTTAGCACCTGCAAGAGTCACAGTAAAGGAACTCACAGGTAACCAACACAGTCAGGGGAGCAGCTCCTTCTGCTTGTTTGGAACCTGCCATTTTCTAACTTCATCTGCTCATGTCTCATGGGGATGATCTCTCCTCTCTCACCCTTTCCATTCCCCTCACGATTTTATCAGCTTATGCTGCATTTCCTTTCATTTTCTTCTTTTCCAGCCAGAGCCCTTTGGAAACTTTGAACCACCTTATTGCTTTTCTCTCAATCTTTTTTCACTCTGCTTTATCCTCCCTGGGATCAGGGAGGGGTAGGGAAAACCTGCACAAGCAGTTTCAGGCGCAGCAGATTTATAGAGGTCTGCTGGTGCTTTGTTTTGTTTTCCTATTTCTCTCCTAGTACTTTCTAACAGCCTATTTACCTTTTAGACCACTCCTGAGCACTGGGCTGACATTTTCATGAGACTATTTATTGCAATATGAAGTCTTGTTCCTCCATGGTCAGAGTCAGCTCAGAGTCCATCATCTTCTTTGTGTTTTTGGAATGTGCATCACTCCTCAGTGAGTCCCATTTCTCATCTTAATGCCTGTTCCAGCTGCCTCAGAAGGTTTCTCTGCAGTCCTTCACAGCCAGTTTTCATCTCTAGCAGCCTAACTAATATCATCAGCAAATTAAAGACTATTCCTCTTCCCAGGCTGCTTATGAAAATGCTGAGTTGTGTAGTCCCAGGACACATCTCATGGATACAGCACAGCAGATCTCTTGCCACTGCATGAAATGGGTGATTTACACCTGGTTGTATTTCTCATCTTTTTTACCCAATTTTTTTGGCCATGCAGTTTTCTCTCCTTTACAGCTGCTCAATCTCCCAGAGAAGCTTTGGTGAAAGGTTTGGTCCAAAGCCTCTCTGAACCCCTCACAGGCTGCAGTGACAGCCCTGTCCCTTTCCATCCACTTGTTGAGCCCTTCAGAGCACTGTGATGGATTTGTAAGACAAGATTTTGTAAGACAAGATTTTGTAAGACAAGAGTTCCTGGCACAAAAGCCGTGCTGACTCGTCCCTGGCATGTCACAGCTGTTTGGGCACTCTCTCCTAATTGCATTTGGAAGTAATTTGTCTGACTTCTGAGTGAGCAATTTGTAGTTTTCTGTTCTTGCTTACAGCTGGTTATAAAAGACACATTTTCATCTTTCAAGGACCAAGGATTTTTACTTCTCTTCATTCTTTTATCTTTCTATCAATAATTTACATTAACCCTCCTTTTGCAGACACTGCAGCACGTCAGGCATTTTTGGTACATAGACTAAAATTGTTAGGATCATAAAATCATAGAATGGTTTGGGTTTGAAGAGACCAAAAATCATCCAGTTCCACCCCTGCCATGGGCAGGGACACCTTCCACTGTCCCAGGCTGCTCCCAGGCTGCTCCCAGCCCCAATGTCCAACCTGGCCTTGGGCACTGCCAGGGATCCAGGGGCAGCCACAGCTGCTCTGGGCACCCTGTGCCACTCCCCACCCTCACAGAAGAATTGAATCCTAATATCACTCATTCTTGGGATACTGCAACACCGTGGACAGAATTCAGCTGGTACAGATGACTGGGCAGTGAATCAATAACTGATCACACAGGTTTTCTGGAACCACTCAGGTTAGAGCAGTAAATCCCAAATAAATTTAATTGCACCCAAGCTGCATTTTTTCCATTCTAACTAAAAAGGCAAAAAGACAGAGAGAAGAGGCAAATCAAGGCAGTGCTTGCTGACATTAAGTGGCTTTGACTTGAAAAGGTATCACTAACGTTCAGAAATGAAAACAAGGAAGATAACAGGGTTAGCAAGACATTTGCAAGCTGCTTGCACTCTATTGACTTTAAACAAGGAGATAAGGCTGCTTCCTCCAACCCTGTTACCCTCAAGAGTGAGTGAACTGTCAGGAAATCCTCAAGGCTTGGACAAGCCCAAATCACTCCACAGGCAGGATGCAGCAATATCTCACTGCTTTAACTGCCCCCATCTCCTTTGTCTGTAGGTCCCTATCTATCACAGGAAACAAATCCCTGATCTGCTGCTGCCTTTAATTCAGATAATCAGAGAGAAGTTCAATAAAGCCAATGAGGACGGGATGTAAAAGGGATAAGGATGCCAGCTCGGATATTATTTGACCCCCAGGTTTTGCCTATCTCCTGCTGATGTGAGGAGTCCTCTGACACATTCACTAAACTAAATGGAACAATCTTTGCAGCAGCAGCAATCTGTCTGGGAGGCAGTGAAGGCTCTTTCTGTTGGGAAGTAATTGGCTAGAGGGAAAGAAAAATCCTACAGTGAAGGAGGGAAAGGTCTCATACCTCAAAACTGAAGCTGCAATGAAAAATACCTGGCCAATATTAATATTTCTATTTATACAGTGTGATATATATGGGTAGTGAGGCCCTGGCACAGGGTGCCCAGAGAAGCTGTGGCTGCCCCTGGATCCCTGAAGTGTCCAAGGCCAAGCTGGACAGGGTTTGGAGCAACCTGGGATAGAGAATAAGTGAAATGGCAGGGGGAAAATGAGATTATCTTTATGGTCCTCAACCCAAAGCATTCTATGATTGAACAGTTTCTATGGTTATACTGATATAAATAATATAAATATAAATATAAATATAAATATAAATATAAATATAAATAGTGGCTTCTCACTGACAGAAACAAACTTTCAACTAATGCACATTTGCTTGAGAAATTCGAGCCAAGTTCTCCAACTTCTTTTGAGTTGAGCTGATTAGCTAATGCTGAAAGGAACTTCTAGGAACACGAGGTCATGGCCAGTCTGCTGGACAAGCCAGAGTTTGCTCTCTAAGGATGATCTGAGCACATTCTTCACCCAAGCCCTGCTTAAACATCACCATCTCGAACACACTCGAGACTCCCTGCCCCTCTGAGACTCTGACAGGACAGAAGCAGAGAAGGCAGAGCTCTGTTTTACACCAAGCCAATCTCCACTGCCAAAACCCTGCAGGCAGCAGTGAGCAGTAACTCCCAGCTGGTGCCTTACCTCAGGCTCCCCGCAGTCACACTCCTCTCCATCCTCCACGTAGCCATTCCCACACTTCTGGCCTCCAAAGGACTCCTTGACCTCAGGCAGGTTAAAGAGACACATTCCCACTCCCTTCTCCAGGCTGTTTTCCAGGTCCTTCCTACTGCAGCTACTGAAGACCATGGGGAATGGGTAGCTGGAGAAAACCCACAGGGAGACAAAAGGAAGGTTGTTAAACAAGATGAAAACCTCTCTCCCCCATCACACCAGTGACATTTTAGCACATCTGTGCCTTGACCAGAAGATTGTGCTCACTTCTTATCACACAGAATTGAGATACAGCAATTCACTGTGAAATTGAGCTCAACCCATTAATAATAATAATTTCTGACTATGAATAAGAGAATTTTCACTTTTTCACTTCAATTCGTAGCTGCTGTTAATAAGGATTGGAATTGTCCACATTTGAAATTCCTTCTCCCTCTTTTGCTTATGGAGTTATAATGCAAATGATGATTATGAGCCTAAAGAAATGCTGGGTTTGCAAGTAGTATCCTGCATTTGCAGGACTGCAAAAGATACTAATCCTTCTTGGAAAATTCAGCCTGAAATGGCAAATTCATTCATCTTGCTCTGCAGAATGGCAAACTTCCTGCTCTTTTCAGGAAAAAAAAAAGAATAAAAGAAAAAACCCACTGTTACTTGATAAGAGCCTGCTTCTGCAATTCATCAAAGATGAGCTTGGGAACTGCATGATTAAAGCAAAGACAGTTCTTATTTTAAATCAGCAGGACTGTAAGGACACGGTGCTGAAAATATTCCTGTTTGGAATTCCCAGTGCTGAGTGCAGGTTGGGCCCTGCTGTGCAGACACGTAGCAGCTCCCACTCCCTTTACACAACACCCAACAGTGAGAACACAGCACTCCTGTGCAGTACAAACACCAGCAGGTAATTGGTGTTTTCCTCTGGCAGAACTCAATTCCATTTCTGCTGATGAGTGTTTGCAGTTTGCCTCACGGATGAGGGACCAAGTGACACCAGGGCCTGGCTGATGGCACGGTGTCCTTGATGCCTTAAGGAGCTGCAGCAGAGGCTAGAGGGAGTTCAGAGGAATAGAGTGGAGATTTATTGAAGTGCCTTCAAAGGCCACACCCTGGCAGTGCCCAGCTGGCTCCAAGTGGAAAGGAAAAGAGCTTGGGTACGAGATCTCACATTTTTGTAAATTTTAATCCATTTGCGTATAGGAGTTAACTGTCCAATTAACAGCTTCAAATGATGAAGTTTCATCCTCCTTGTTTGCTTGCCCACCCCTCCTCTTTTCATGTTGTTCATCCTTTGGGCCTGAAATTTGAAAAGATTGTCCTTGAGTCTCGAGCTGGAACAGGATTGTTTTGCCTCCATCATCATGTGAAAAGATCCCAGTAACACTTCATATAAAGCTAAAGCTGCACACCAAAACAGAACAGAAACACTCAAAACCCAAGGTATCATCCTAATGACTGCTGTCACTGCTCTGTGCTGAGATGTCATGGAACCAGTCATGGAACAGCTTGGGCTGGAAAAGGACTTGGAGTCCATTTCATCCCACCTCCAGCAGCACCTTCCACTACCCCAGGGAGCTCCAAGCCCTGTCAGCCTGGCCTTGGACACTTCCTGTGGCTGCTCCATCCCCAGCTTCTCTGGGAAACCTGTGCCAGGGCCTCCCCACCTTGACAAGGAACAATTTCCCCAAATATATCACGTCCACATTCAGTTATATTGAACCTGTGTCACAAACACTTCTCCCCTCAGACTGATACAGAAACTCAACATTTCAGCAGCTCAGGAGCCAACCTGGCAATTCCACTTTACTCACTGAGTGCTTTGTGTCACCCACGTGTTATTAGGATTGTTATATGTGTTATTAGGATTGTTATCTTTGCAGACAAGCAAGATAACAGATAGAAATTCTGCACTGCTGAACTTCAGACTCCCATTAATCTCCTGGTGTTTCTGATATCCTCAGATGAAAAGCTTGTTTTGGGAATGATGATGCCCGTAGGCCTTAGACAGGGATAATTTCTATTAAAAAGAAAGAAATGTTTGGCAACTACAAATGCAATAGAGCTTCTTATGCTGACACAAGGAAGTTAATTAGGATCTTCTAGAAGGTTATGGATACATTACAGAACAGAATATATTTTGTGCCTAGTTAAAATTACCTCTTTTACAGTTTCTTTTGCAATAAAACAGCCAGCTCATTGGAAAAGAACATAAACATGAGTATGAAGAAGAAAATAATTTTCCAATATCACTATAGGGCTTGTCAAGTTAAACTAAACAGTTTTGAGTTTCACTGACATATGACTTCAGAAAGCTAATAGGCATCTCCATGTAATAAGCTGATTGCTGGAAAATATCAATGTTTCAGCAAAATGACAGAGTCTAAGATAAATAAAGAAATTTCAGAATAGCAGGAGGTAGGAGCCAGGCTGTTAGCTGGACCCCAAGGGAGGGCAGGGAAGGTACTTGGAGTAATGGAACAGAAAATAAAGCCTCTTGGAAAACTACTGACCATTTTATATTGAGCAGTTGGAGATGTTCTTAACAGGACACCACAAACTTCTGTCCTACCCTCAGTGTGACTGGGAAGAAACCTCACAAAATTCTGTGTACGTGACTGTGAACAAGTAGATGGGTGCACATTCCTGCCAAACAGCAGGGAAAACCAAAGAAATCCAGATATATCTGACTGAGAAATCCTGATAAAGGCTTGATCAGACAGGGCCTTCACATCAAAGTGTGAATAAAGGAACACTGCATCACCCAGGCACGATCCTGCTCTTCAGTGGCACAGGTTGGCTTTGATATCCACTGGGGTGAGACAAGGAGACACACACCTCTCAGGGAATGAATCCATTCAGGAGCACAATTAATGCAGATTTCCTTGTGATGCCTCTCAGCCACACACAGAGCACGAGGACAGCTCACCAGTCAAAACTGTCACTGTTTTAGGGCTGTTCCTTGGCGTGCTGGATTCCCAGGATCACTGGCATGGATGTGAGGTGTGTGTCCATCAGCAGGAGGGCAGGCTCCTCTCTCTGTGCCAGAGCTGAAATTGTGCCATTGCTGATGAAGGAGCTTTATGTTTCCCCCCCAAAGGAACTTCAAGCTGTTTCCTATTTTGAACCCAGAGATCCATTCATCTTCTGGCTTTTCCTGCTCCTGACACTGGTTTCCTCAGCTGACATCAGTGCAGCACATGGCACATGAGGACATTTCCTGAAACGCTTCTTCTTTACCAAGTAATCCCCAAATAGAGCAATAAAAACCCAGAAATAAACCCAGCTGCTGGAAACAGAGAAACTTCAGGGTAACCACACCATGCAAGAGAAGATCCCACATCAATTGGTGACAATTGGAAACCTGATTGATCCTTAATGTGATATTCTGATACACAACCAGTCTTCATTTCTTGACCAATAAAGTTCCATGTAACAGCCACAGCACTTGATTGTTGCGATTTCAGGCTGTATTTTGTCTGTCTCTGCAATTTTAAAGCTGTTTCATCAGAAGAATGAAATGCCTGGCAGATGGGATGGGAAGGGAAGTCACAGATATCAGATGTCAGCGGTGCTCAAACCAATGTTTGAGTGGATCTGGAGCTTGTGAAAAATGCTAAAGGAATGGGGATGTGAAAGGAATTAATCCTCTGAACAAATGCAGGAGCTTCCTCCCACTACCCTGTAAAGATCTCCCCTGGAAGGAGCTGCCTCAGGGTGGGAGAAGGAGGTGGGGTCTCCACAGTGGAGTCAGCCCTTGACCTGTCTCAAGATTTCAGGGATTCCTAAACAGGGACATTTGTGCTCAGACACTTCCTCTGTTGGAAAACCAGCTCATGAATGCCATGAGAGAACATTCCAGAGGTGAAAAATTCATCAGCAGTCTTTATACTCCATTCATCTCCACTCGAGACATTTTCTGTTACAGATCCTTATTTCTTTTTACACTTGGAAAGAGAAAGGACGCTTCAGTCCAGCCTCACTCTTATGCCAAAATGCTGTGTCCCATGCATTTTTTACACTGTCTGAATCTGTAGATTTAATACACAATGGATCATTTTGTCAAGCTGTTCTGGCTGTGGGTACAACTCTACAGAACTCAAATTGTTCCCAGCACTACCATCAGTCTCCTCGGTGGCTTTACAGCAAGGAAAACCACTTCATTCTTTCTGCCCCTCTCGAATCCACAGCATTCCTTGGTGACTCCTTGGTGCTCAAAAGATGTGTTTAAACCCCAGCAACAAATATCCCAGTTTCCAACAAAAATAGCTCTGCCTGCTCCTGCAAGTAAGACCTTCACTGCTGTCAGAGGATCCCTGGTAATCAATTCCTTGGGAAACAGAGCCTGGGCTTGTCCCATTCATTTATATTTCAAGCAGTCCAGCCCTCCAAATGCCAGGTTCCTTTAGGCAGCTCTGCATTTAGCCTGTATTAGATGGCTCCTTCCATTAACTAAGTGAAGTGGCATCAGCACTCTGTCAAGTCCCATTTAAGAAGAGAGGATTCTTTGTACCAGCACCTCGCTGCCCAGCACAGGCTTCTTTTCTTTTCTTTTTTTTCCCCCCCACAAAATATAAAAGCTCATCTCCGTCATCTCCATTCCAGAGGAATTCCCTTTCCTCAGGGGCTGAATGACAGGAGAGTTCAAGCACAGGAACTGAGCCACTGCCCCAGAAAATTACAGGCTGAGGAGATGAGACAGGCAGAGCACTGAGGAGAGGCAGTGGCTGCTGATCCGTGCAGGTCACAGCAGATCTGTGATCACTGCTCAGGCTGCTGGGATGTTCCCATTCCTGTCCTCACTGCTCAGGCTGCTGGGATGTTCCCATTCCTGCCCTCCCCACTGCTCCATCTGGAATGTGCCTGGAGGGGCAGTGCCCTGAGCTGCAGGAGACCCAAACCCCTCCAGCTGCATTGCAGCAGCACCTCAGGAAAGGTGGAACTCCTTTGGATCCTCCAAATCCTGTCTGTCCACACCTCAGAACCTCGGGTCCAGCCCCCCTGAGCTCCTCCACCATCAAACACCACAGATTTGTGTTTCCCAGCCACTCAAGGGGTAACACTGTGAATTCTCTGTCCATTGCACAGCAGGATAAACTACAGGCTCAGCATATCTTGAAATAATTTTGATTATTATGATTATCACTATCCAAT